CCCCAAAACCCCAAAACCCCAAAACCCCGGTATATAGGGACGTTATTGCGGTAATATAATATATTAAATATGAAGTTGCTCAATACTGAGCTGAGAGAAATCCTTCTGTTTCTGGAGTTTAAAGATATTGTCAATTCTAACTTAGCCTTTCTTAATAAGAAGTTCTTCTATAATATTGTGTAAGAGATGCTGTTTATGAGTAGGGAAGACACAGAGTTGTTGAGGAGGATGATTGATCTTACAATTTCACTTGTTAAAGATTATCAGAGGCAAGAACAGTACTATGCTTTGGTCACTTCAAAGATACTGAAGCTAAAGCATAAGCACCTCCACGGAGATGAAGATTTTAAAGAGTAAGTGCAGGTATTGAAGTTTTCTAACCTTGACTCTAGACCAGAGTTAGAGTTCAAAAGATTGTATGACTTTACAGCGAAAGATCTTGCTTTATTTCTGCTAAAAATAGCAAAGGAGGAGAACTGAATTCAATTAATATGCACTAAGAGGACAACTGGAGGAGCTGAAACTTTTGATGCTCAATGTCTCAGAGCTTTCTTATCCAATAGCTCAATATACTACTCAAACTACGAAGACAGGCACACAAATGGGGTTCTCTGCGTCACAGGGATTCCACTGGAAGAACATACCGAAGATGTAGGAACTCTTCTGTTTCATTATTAATAAATGTAGGTGGCCAAGGCAAAGAACTTGTACGCACAGACTCTAGCCCTGCAGGATCAGATAGGCCATGTACTTACTGAGGATGAGAAAGAGTTTAAGAGTTATAAAGATATTGTAGAGAAAACTGATGTCCCAGATGTAAGTCAAGCTAAGAAATTGATAGTATAAGTCGTTTAGAAGATTAGACTAGAGTTTTGGATAAGGTTTAGATATTTTAATGTATTTATAAATTACCTGAAAAAAATTCTTATTTTAAGCGGCACTAATTCTTATGAAAATCAACACATAAATAGTATAAGCCACTACTAACCCTGAGCTTTTGTACCCTTATTTTGCTCTATGATCAAATCCTTATTTCAAATTACTAAATCCCTAAAAAATTCTGCTTCATTCGAAATATCTTCATGAATGAACAACAGTTGTTTTAATTAATTCCTAAGTCTGATCTTATAGGAGTATTTACACGAAGACATTAACTGTGAGGATGCATATAAGTACAACAAATGGTACAGGAACAGACTCATATATTCTATCAGGAAGGACCCGGATCTCGCGGTAAGGATCCACATACATCTCAGTCACTATACTAGATATTTCGGATGTGTGGTAAAGAAATGGAATATCTTATCGAAAATAAAGCTTTAGCTTGTTTCAGATTAGCCTTTTAAATATCATTATTCAAACATCATTTAATCGGGATCAGTGTTATTAAAAGCATAATTTTATACGAAAGACTAAGAGATAATCATAATATACTTGGCAACAAGACTTGTCTTTCTCTTGAGACATATTTTTAATTTAGGAAGAAAATGGAAATATTGAGTATGATACCGCGGTTCATCAAGAGTTAATGAAAGATAAACTCTTTTACTGGAATCGTTTCCGTGTAAAACATTTTCTTGATCATCATAGGTAATGGAAACAGAGAGATCAACTTGCCCAATTAAGGCCTTAGCTGTGTTCACCCATGATTATCCCATTAAGACTGAAAATCATCCATTGATTCATATTATCAAAGATTTATATGAAAAGAGCAAAGAGGAAATCACACAGTTATCAATGGGTGGTTTATTTGATTCTGATTCTGACGAAGAAATCAAAACTATCACTTTCAATGCTCATAAGATGAAAGATAAACTGATTCTTATGTCAAAATCTGGACTTCTCCCAAACATTTGCAATATTGAATTTTTCAAAACTGAACAAAATCTGATTAATAGCAGTAAAAATAATTGTGACACTGAAAACTTCAAGTAATTAAATTCCTTTAAAGCATCTAATAGCCCGGAAAATATTTTTGAGTTCGATCAGGAATTTTACTCTTCAAAATTCCAAAATGGAGAGGAAGGAGCAGAATATTACGACCATATAGACTCTTCTATCTGTACTGAAACTCTTGAGAAAGCCATTTCAGAGATAGACCAAGGCGATAAGTACATGGAAATGCTCAATGCTCTGGATACCAAGTACGTCAAGGCTTAATATCCCATAGATGTGACTTCTTCAGACTCAGACTTTCTGCTATTGCTTATGATCTAGGTGTAAGGCATTATTAGAGCGATTCTTTAAGATCACAGCAAGATAATTAACAAATCAAATTTCTGAAAATGTTTTTGGCAGAATTTGAACTTCATCTGACTAATTACAAGAATAAGGTCAATTATGGAATAAGATAGAATGTTAAGCTTGAGTATAGTTTTGAAGATCAACATTTCTGAGGTATTTTGGAGATTGTGGTAATAGTTAGACTAGAAACTTCCATATCTTCAGAGCATAGAAAGTACATTAAATGCATTAATACTTCATCATGAAGAGATGTGAGCTTTAGAATGACTAATAGTAGATTTAATTTCTAAGGTTCCAATGATATTTACAAACATTCTCGTTTGAAAGAAAGATAATTCTTGAAAGGATTTTGGCCTTGGTAATCAAAAATAATCTCGAAATTTTTATCATTATGGTATGAACTGTCCAGCTTCAGTTGTGAGAATCTTTATAATGTATATCTAGACTCAATACAGCTCATATGATTTCTCACTAAAGTCTAATAAGAGCGGCAGATTTGTGAGCATTCTTGGTAAGCAAAATAACTTAGTATAGGGTTGGATAAGGTAGTCAGGAGCACATATCCAGGAGTCAACATCGATATTGGAGGAGTTCTCTTCGGAGGCAACTTTTTCCCAGGACTCGTACAAATGAAGGACTAAAACTATATGATTTCAGTTCCCACCTACACCTCCGGGGTTTTGGGGTTTTGGGGTTTTGGGG